TTAACAGTGCTGAGCCATGTCTTCACTTGACCGCCATATCGATATCTCCAGGTTGCACTTCGAGAAGGGTTCACGACCAATCTGCAGAATTCCGTCGATGGCTTGCGCAGGACATGGCCAAACAATTGCAATCGGCGACACTGGATGTATGACGCTAGGCTTGGTAGTTTGAAACGTCTGCGATATAGCTCAACACTGGAAATTCGATCCTGCCAGAAGACTCTTAAGAGGCGTCGAAGACACCAACAGTCAAATACTTCGAGCAATAGGATGTTTGCCTTTCTTACTGGCCATGTTTTGCAGGCATATACTAGCACCGGTCTGATTGATGCTTTGTATATTAGCAGCTTAGTACGTAAGCTGATGTCTGAGTGAGACCAGAGTGGTCTGGCCAGCAGCCTAACTGCATTTCTAGCTAGCGCGATTCGGTTCTTGATTTCATCTTTGACCTGTCCGTTAGCTAGCATATTCGAACCTAAATAGCGGAAGCAGCTAACTTCTTCGATAGGTTGATTGCTGATAAACAGTGGTTGTGCTGTGCCGAGATGCGTAGTCAGGAGCTTCGTTTTGCGTACATTAATCGTCAGACCAATAGTTGAAGCGAAATGCTATTTCTCCCGTTAAATGTGTATCAGGTCTATTTGTCCACGCGTGCACACCTAGTGAAGCGAGTGTCTCTCTTTTTAAGAGCGAATATGAATGCGTTTACGGTATTTGTCCCGTAGAGTACATATTTGGGCATTTAACTATCGCGTCCTGTCCACCACTTGTCGCTGTCAATTCGCCATTTCAAATTCGAATAGTTTGCGGCTGCGTCTGCCGTCCCGTTTACGTTAGGGGTTTAGCATACAAGCTATACTTTTCACATATTGATGTTGTAACTTACCATACTAACGGCCTAGGTACTAGCTAAAAGGCCCAGACACGTGTTTCGCTGGTATCCTGCCGCTGCTTGACAGAGCTGCGAGGGGTCCGGCTCATCAGTGGGTCCCCAGCTTTCCCTGTTTGCCTTCTGGTTAATATACCGGTTTCGAAAGTTCAGCTTTTTGATTTCCTTATAAATTAATTTCTGCTCGTAGTATACATCGATATATTTAAGATCTATAGGCATAGACCGATATTTAAGTGTAGGCAAAGCCAAAAATCTATCTATGCCATTAAGAAGATAGCATATTGGGCTCCTAGAATTTTGCAGTTGATATGGACTGTCTTCTATACTTCATAAAGAGCACTAATAAACGGACATAATTTTTTAAAACCGAAATGTATCCCTTTGAATGTAAACTTTGAAGAGTAGAATGAAGATATTTTAGCGAGGTTGGAAGATTTGACTCAGTTGTGGAAAACTCTGCGGCCTCGATTATATTCAAACCCATGATAGTAAGCAGGCGGCTTTAATATAGCCAGCAGTTTAGATACTTGAGCTACAAGGCCTACTCGGGAGCCATGAATTTAATCACACTTGGGTCGACTTATCCACTCAAGAAATCGTGTTTGGGTAGTTAGCTTTCTGTATGAGAAGTGATGGATTGCATATGCTGCAGTAGGCTGTGCTGATAATCTGATTAAATTCACGGCTTCCGGCTGGGCCTCGTAGCTTAAAGGATAAGAGCGTTGGTTATATTAAAGCCTTCTCCTTGCTTTCGTGAGTTCGAATCCTACCGAGGCCACCGAGTTCTTCATAACTACGTCAAATATTTTTATTATTTCTGCAGAATGAACTGATAAAGGCAACGGAAATCAGTAGTTTGTCATTTTTTATCGAGTCCAGTTTGTGCAGGTGGCCAGAAAGGGATGCATTAAAAAGCTGGCATTCTCGCGTGTCTACAATATCTTTGGATTTTGCCACACAGTAACCAATATTACCACCTAACTTGACCTATCCTTCCTGATCAAAAACGCAATTTCGGAATTTCGCTTATAATTTCATGACATCAGTCACCGACTGTACACTGAAACCACTTTCACTATCTTCGCTTGTATAAAACACCACGACTTAGCTATACAAATAGTAAACGAATACTTAAATATATTGCTGTCTATTCATTTTTAACTGTAGCCGAAACCAGACAGCAGGAAAGGTATCTTACCGTACACTAAAAATTTTAAATGGCTGCTTGGTGGTGTGCCTGTTCGTGGATGCCTGTGATTAATATGTGGGCATCGCCGATCTAGTAATGAAATAATTAAGTTCCATTTTTGTGCAGGAGCTCACATTAGAGCCCGTGCAGGCAGCCGCATAGCGACTAGTGGGATAGGATGGAGTGGCTTTGACAAAGCAAAGGAAAACCGGCATAGCCATTTCTGGCTTGTTAGCCGTCATCAGCCAGTCATACCCAATCTCAA